CAACTTCGCCAGTTGCTCAAGCGCCCATCCATCAGATTTGCCGAACTGGTATCGAACTTCCTCCTGGAATCGAGACCACGATATGGATGTCCTCATCTCCGCATACGTTGATGAGCCCACAAGTCAGTCAGATCGGCCCATCTCCCGCTCAGCTCGTGCACCACAGCCCAATCCCTGCTACTGAATTTACGCGTAGGCCGGTCCAATCACAGAACAAGCTCGCCCTTGTAGTAGTTTCGGTTTGTTTTAGTATTGTTAGTAAGGTTGAATAGGTCAACATGGTTGTTAGCGTTAGTGGTTAGTGGAATAAGTTTCTCCATATTTTGTGGAGAAAGTTGAGTAGTAATAGCAGCACCTGTAGCGTGGAGTTAGTTCCACTAAGTAGATAGGTCTTTTTCAATGTGTATTTAAGTTGAGATTGCATTCAATAAAAGTAAGCAGAAAATTAGTAGAAGAAACCCTGGTACCTCTCGCCAAAAAAAGAGAAAACTGGTTCAATCCCGCCAAGAAAAGAGATCCATTCACTCATACGATTTCAACACGTATCATTTGGTATCAGAGCCGTTGATCCGGATTTCGATCATGATGGCCTCAGAGAGATCATCAAAGGAGGAGGAACTCATCAATCAGGCAATCCAAATGCTAGATTGTGTCATCGCTACCTGTGGCATGATGATTGCATCGTATGACAAATACAAGCCATCAACAACACCACCACCGACGCAAGTCGAGACCCTAGCTGCTATTGAAGAGGAGGAGATCACAGTCCAACCTGTAGAAACCGCATTACCACCGCTGCAAGCTGAAGCTCTAGCAGAGTCGATAAAGGACAAGGAAGAAGACGTTGATGTCGTTGAAGTCGCACTGCATACACCGCCGATCGTCCGTCCCTTCTGTCGTGCCGACGAGTGTCTCCAAACCAAAACCGCCGTCAGAGGTCAAAACTTTTGTTGCCATGAAGGTGGATACACTTCACATTGCTCCCACATTAGCTCCACCATAGCCCACCACGTCACCGATTACCCCACTTGTGCAAGCACCATTCGAATCAGCAACCAAGGCCGCCCCTGCATCACCACACCTTGTCGTAAAGCACTATCATGGAGGGATGCCGCAATCTTTGTGGGTTGGCAGCCGTAGTCGACAAAAACAGGGGTATGTCCCCTCATTGGATATCAAAATAATCTCCATGTGTGTGCTTACCATTGGAGGTAGAATAATATTGGGCCAAATAAATGTGAAGCAACGTGAAGCAGCTATGGGTATGTTTGATGTTGATGGCGACTTTCTTTATAACTGGAAGAGACGGAAGAAGGGTCAAGACTTAGCTAATGTCCCAAAAATGTGGGACAATAATATAGGGAAGCTAGAGCCATCGGTGAGGAAAGAAGACATGGCATTCACTTTTGATTATTTCTACCATGACAAAGACTTCTGCAACAAAACCTACAAGAGGAACTGTCGGTTGGAGACAAATTTTGTGATTAGGCGAATGGCACCATTCAAGAAGCGGAGGAACGAGCTGAAAAGTGTTGAACGAGCCGAAGGAGGTTATGGGCGGGCAGGATCGGCCATATGGGTTGAGTTATGGGCTAGACCACCTGACTGGTACAGCTCAAGGATGGACACGTATCAAGAACATCCCCTTCTTGAGCTTATTGACTTCCGTCTCTACCTCCAGAACAACAATTCGTTGGTGGGTGGGTTCGTGTTTTTATGCTATACGGGAGTTAGCGTCCGATTTCTGCGTCGCTTCACCCATCTCGGCCTTGAGGACAAGGCCGATTTTCAGGGAATGGTAATGATGAGCCCAGAAGTCAGTCAGATCGGCCCATCTCCCACTCAGCTCGTGCACCACAGCCCAATCCTTGCTACTGAGTTTACGCGTAGGTCGGTCCAATCACAGAACAAGCTCGCCCTTGTAGTAGTTTCGGTTTGTTTTAGTATTGTTAGTAAGGTTGAATAGGTCAACATGGTTGTTAGCGTTAGTGGTTAGTGGAATAAGTTTCTCCATATTTTGTGGAGAAAGTTGAGTAGTAATAGCAGCACCTGTAGCGTGGAGTTAGTTCCACTAAGTAGATAGGTCTTTTTCAATGTGTATTTAAGTTGAGATTGGATTCAATAAAAGTAAGCAGAAAATTAGTAGAAGAAACCCTGGTACCTCTCGCCAAGAAAGGAGAAAACTGGTTCAATCCCGCCAAGAAAAGGGATCCATTCACTCATACGATTTCAACACGTATCATACGTCCTCTCCAACCTCTCCCACCACTGTAGTGCATCGCCTTCTAAGTAGAAAGATGTCAGATAGGCCTTCCTCTCATCCAGCACGTCATGGTTCTTGAACCACTTGTCAGTTGCATACAAACATAACCAAGCATCCTCCTGACCATTGAATTTTGAGAATTCGATGGTTGGAGGTTTAGCTCGAAATACCAGGTCTCCATCCCCTCATGATTCGAGCCATACCCACCATACCTGGCGTAACCGTGCGATGGTGCCCCTACGATCTTTTCTGCTCCCGCTCCGATACCCACTAGCCACCATAATCTTCCCGTCTACTCATCTCCTTTCCCCTACTTCCCTGCTCAAACTCCTGCTGCCTGTCCAGGGTCCCATATTCCATTCAAACCGCCCCGTAGAAAAGGAAGGAGCCTCCCGACCCCTCTCGCGCCGTTCGCCAATCGCCCTTGCCGCAACCGGCTGCTTCCTTGGTCGGAGACATCCCGGTTCGAGAATGAGTTTGGACCATTCCACCCAGTTTCGGCTCTGCCGAACCGGTCAGGCCCCTCCACCATCCGGCGATCCGCCCATGCACTAGTCTTGCCATGACCCATCAAACTCCTTTCTTCGTCTTCCTCATCCCGCACCATTATAAATAATAATAAAAAATCTTCCTCATCCCGCATCTCTCCCTGCCTAAACGTCATGTTTTGAATGACGTTGTTATACCCAACCATCTTTGATTTTTCCTTCTGTGTCGTCGCAATCTCCTGCTTAGACGGAGTTGACAGCAGCCCATCGCCCAGCCCTGGCTCTCGCGCAACTGAAGTCGTGCGAGTCCCCGTCGTAACTTATCATGACGCGAGGACATCGACGACCGACTCTTCCGCCGCCTGCTCCTCCTCCGCCACAGTCGCGCCACGACCCCTTTGGTCGCGACCTCCCTGCTCCTTGGCCACGACCACCACGAGCTCCACCTCGGCGGCGCTCTGGCCTCCTTGCGTGCATCGATGCTCTCTTCCGAGGACAGCCTCCCAAACAACTGGACCAACACCATCTGGTCTGCGTTTGGGTTAGCCTTATCACCAGCTAGCCTCACGTTTTCTACAAACTGGGGGATGGAACGGTTAACCTCCTTCAGCCTTTACTCTAGGTTTCCTTGCATCATGGAGACCTTGAACATCTCCGTCCGAACCTCAGCGCAGTCCGGCTCCTCGACGCATTCTCCGTCGCGTGGCGGTTGCATCAGCGCCTTCTCCTTGGCTTGCGCCGCCTTGGCCCCTTTCGCCGCGATTGCCTTGTCTCCTGCCTTCAAGACTGCGGTTGACGCAACTGCCTTGTCGTCAGCTTTCTCTTCCTTCTCTTGCGCTCTCGTGGATGTCATGTTTGCTGAACACTCCGCACCCAACCGACGCTCCGATACCATGATGATAGACCGCGGAATCTAGGGTGCGAGTAATGCGGTGAAATAGGGAATTAGGGTAGATCAATTAGTGGTTGATCTAAGGATTGGGAATTGAAATAACGAGTTGATAGAGAGGAGGAAGGGTATCGGCCGAGGCCTAGAAAAGAGAGGGAGGGTTTCGGCTAGAGGGAAGAACAACAGAGAGAGGGTTAGAGTTTTAATATTCTTATTATGCTTCACCATAAACCTAACTTACACCGATACTTATACTAATCGACAATTATCTCCTTTACTCCCAAAATAATAACCTAATTATAATACTTCCTCCCCAACAATAAACCAATCATAATAATCCGAATAACAAACCGACAATTACTACTAATTCCTAATAAATATAAAATGTTTCCATCACCCACCATCCACTCGAATAAATGAAAGTATAAAATTTTCGATTCACAATGCACTCACATCAAATACCCATCCACTATAATTTGAATTATTTACAAGTTGATTAATGTCAACCACAAATTAACAACCCATCCCCTAAGTGTAGCTAGGAACTTTATCCCCAATGGGTTGGACAAAAATGAACCGACTAAAGGCAAAGACTTTGGGCTTCTATCATATGTTTATTACTCGCTGCAAACTATCTCATCATATTATCAAAGCATCGTTCACATGTTCTCCCACACTGCAAACCATCTCGCATGATCGATGGGCACGTCTGTAGCTATTTGGTCACTCCAACTATCAGCAAACATAAGGTTCAAAAATGTCTGCAGTGAAACTGGAGGCATCAAGCAGCATTATAGATGAGCATATGGAGTGACCTAATGGCCCAATTATCAACCTCCAGAGGTGATTCAGGAACATAAGAGAGAGATAAGTACCGATCTGAAATGTGGCTACTATGCAAGCATGGTATGGATCCATCTCATCATTCAAAAACCAGAAACCAGCAATCTTCCCAATGAAACTAACTATCTCAACATTTTATACGTATCCTCGTTATCCCACACTGAATAACTTACGAACAAACAAGCATTAGGACTCTAGGAGGGAAAGATTTATGTACCAATACTTGCCATTTTCCCTCCATCATTCCTTTGTCTATAGCAGCTGCTGAAGCTTGGAGACAGAACAGCAAAAAGAATTTCGAAATTGCGATCTCCCACGCATTGCTTGAGTCATCTCAAACCAACAGCAGCCAAGTCATTCTAACTTCACATCCATTTTACCAGAGAACATAAGGAGAAGTTGGGAGGTAGACCAGTGGATTAGAACCAGCGAGTGTGGCCGTTCTCAAATGAGCTTTGATTACATACATGTCCACAGAGTGCCACAATAGAAACTTGGTTCAAAACTCGAACTCCAACTACAGGTAAAAGCTCACACCTTGATCTTCAATCTCATCATCATCACTATCCCACAACACATAGTCTCCATCCTCTTCCTCCTCTTCCCCTTCAGAGAACACCGAAATTCTCATGCTATTATACCCGGATATCTCAGCTGCAATCTCCTCAACAACACTATCCACATCATCACCAGTCCACTCATAGCCATCAACTCCACCTTCATCACTCCATTCGTAGCTAACTTCGCCATCGGAATGGCTAAACGAATCGCGCACATCATACTCTAGTTCTTCCTCACTACTATTACCCCTCCTCTTGGGTACCAAATCTTTCTCTGTTACTTCCCCATTCTCAACTCCAATCCATGGCACCCACAAATCAGCATGCCTCCCCAATGCTCTATCCCTATCCCCTACCACCACCGTCCCCAAATTAGCCTCCCTAGCTCTCTTCAATATCGCACCGAAATCTGAATCATCTGAAACTAAAACCAACCAATCAATACCTCTACTCATGGAGTGCTCAATTTGCCTCTTCACAGCCCAATCTGCAGCCTGCGGCTTGTCCTCCACCGTCTTCACATAAACTCCGGCTCTCCTAAGCTCCGCTGCAAGCCCATATCCTACTTTGGGAGTCACCAATCTCCTTGCCTCGTCATTATACTTGTCGTTCCCGGAGATGAATCTCTCTTTATACCGCTGACGCTTTTTCCCTTTCAGAGACCTCATTCTGTTCACCTTCTTCTGCCTTTCTCGCTCGTGGAGCTGCCGGAAGTGCTTCTTTAGGTCCAAATTGGTCTTGCATTTGCGGCCGCAGACCCCGCAGATGTAGGGTTCCGGCGCGGCGACGATTCCTTTCCGTTCCAGAATGTCTTGCTGCCTCCGCTCCCGCCGCTCCTGAGCTACCCACTGCGGGAGGTGGACGAAGGCGTGGCGGTTCGCATAGGCCGACATCTCGACGACGTCTCCGAATTTCGACGCTACTTCTTTCAGTGACAACGCGGCGTGGTACGGCGGCCCCCGCGGCGGCTTGTTGTCGAGGTCCCATAGTACGACGACTTTGTTCTGCTTGGCGGTGTAGATTCCTTGCCTGTTCTTCACCATGTTGATCTCCGAATTCGAGGCGGAGGAGCAGGCGGTTATGGAGCATCGGCGGTGAGGCGTGGAGACGTGCGGCGGCGGAGGCCTTGAAGTTAGAGTTAGTCCGTTGAACAGACGATTCGGATTCGAGGGAGCTAGAGAATAAGAGAAATAAAGGGCAGTTTGAGGGAGGAAAAGCGGCGGTTTCAACAGGTGGGAGGCCTCGACGGCGCTGAAAAGCTGAGGCATGGCTCAATTGTGAAGGCGCATCCCCAGGCTACCGGCTCCGGCGGCAGACCGGCGGAGGAGTGAGTAATGTCTGTTCAATACTTCAATTTCCTACTTCTGGATTGGAGAGTAAAGAGATAAGGAGGATCTTTCGTCTGCGACATAATGATTTGGGCTTGGGCTTGATGAATCAGCACTTAATGTTTGAGCCTTGCGGCCCCTGAATTATATGAGCCATTTCGGACCTGGGTCCTCACAAAAGTATGAGCCTCGAGTGCTCATTTGGTTGGGCTTGAGCTCATATTTTTGAAAGGGGGTGTTCAAACGAACCCGGATCCATCGGTTGGATCACGTCCTTGTGCCAAAAACTTGAGGATTTTTCTCCTAACTAGAGGTGTCAATCGGGCGGGTTCAGGCGGGTTAGAGTTACGGGTTGGTCGGATTGCGGGTTGCGGGTTGATCGGGTTCGGGTTGATCGGGTTGTGGGTTGATCGGGTTGCGGGTCGGGCGGTTCGGGTTGCGGGTTTTACCACTACAAAAAAAGAGAGAAGTTTAGGTAGGATTTTCGCTGCAAAATCCAAATATAGGGCCAAAAGAATCGAAGATAAGAGGGTAATAGAGATATAATCGGGCAAAAACTAGAGATATAACGGAAAATATATTAAAAAGATTTATGTCTATCTTGACTCTTGAGGAAAGAAAATCAAATAAAAAAATCGATTTTACCGTCAAGGCCAAATACACGACTGTCAATGCCATTACCATTTACCGGGAAAATGAAACGTGTTTGCCTGTGTCTAAAAACTATAATACATCCTACATATTCCGATCTTAAGCAAATTATTAGGGTTTTAAATTATTTGGATGAGTTTGAATTGATATTTACAAAATCAAGTATATGAGTTAAGTGATAAATGATTAACTAAAATACAAAAAAAAAAATGTATGGTTGTCGAGTGTCGAGGTTAATTTTCCATTTTCCGGGCAAGCAAGCGGGGTAAATGGAAAGTTCAAATTTTAGGCATTGAATTGAAAGTTCAAAATTTAGGTGGAAAAGTGAAAAGGGCCGCCAATTCTTTTTGGCTAAAAGGCCCGCCACTCCAAGAGCCAAAAATAGATTAGTGATTACCAATGGTTTCTTTTTTAAATTTAGGGTTAGTTTGGATGATCAATCTATAAATGAGTTAATTTGATCAATTGTCTCGTTTTATAAATGAGGCAACTAAAACGAGTCAATTCGAATTACTTGCCCCACCCCTAGCAAATTGAAATTGACTCAAAACGGATCAATTCAAAATACCTCAGACAGATTGATCCATCCAAATTTTTTGCAGGCAAACGAGGCAATTTGGAAAAAATGTTAGTGAGTTCAATTGTAATTTTACTCGATAACATATAATCTAAACTCTAAATAGTCTATACCCTGAATCCCAAATGATTTTATTCATGAACATGTGTTAATAAATAACTTGATCCTTATTATTTACGATTTTACTAATCTTTGCTAAACCATTAATAGTTTAATACATTAACCCTAACCATATACCCTATACGTCGACTCTATATCTATACCCTAAATTCCTAATGGTTTGATTCATGAACATATATTAATAAGAAAACTTGTTCTTATTAGTTATGATTTTGACTAATCGTGGCCAAACCATTAATACCTTATACCCCAACCATATACCCTCGTTATAAGGTTGCTTTTGTGAAGTATTGCTATGAAAAGTTGGGTGGAGAATATGTTTCAAAAGTCGAGGATGTTGTGGATGATTTGGAGTTGCTTTTGGAAGAATATAAGAATCAATCGGCCACTTCAGCTGCTCAAAGTGGTGTGTCTATGACTTCTCCAAGCGTTCCCTTGGACAATTACACTGCTGTAAGTATTTGTTTGTTGCTACATTTATGAATTATGTTATTGTGTTTTGGTCTTTGGTTAATTATTTATTTTGTTTCATGTACATGCTAACTGTAAAGAAAATGATGAACATGCTTATGTGTTAATATCAATGATATCTATATTTATTGTTTGTAGGGGTTTTATGCATCCAATATCAACCACAATACGTCAACTAGTTCTGAGTTGCAATTGTATTTGGCTGATCATTTGATACCTGCATTTGGGGACATTGATGGAGTCTATAAGCTACTTCCTTTTGATGTCTTGCAATATTGGAAGGACCATCAATTTCGATTTCCTCACCTCTCTAAAATGGCAAAGGATGTACTTTCTATTCCAATTTCATCAGTTGCATCAGAGTCTTCTTTTAGTTTGGGAGGAAGAATATTAACAAAATGGAGAACTTCGATTTTTTCTGATACTCTTGAAGCTGTTGTGACAACTCGTAATTGGATACGAGGATACCATATGGGTAAGAAAAAACAAATTGTTATATTTGTACTGAACAAACTATTCTCTTTTCCGTATTATTTTCTTTTCACTAATTAATTATACAGATGATGATGATGAAGATACGAGGGATGATGGAGAAGAAGTAAAGCTTCTAGAGTGATCGTCATTTGGAATGTCAATTTGTTTTTTTGGACATGTTTTATTGATATTTGAGGTCTTGAGACAATATGAACTATTATGAGTCATGTATTCTTGTTATGATCAGACTTTTGTGAACTATTATTAGTCTTTTTTATGATAGTCATGGATATTTGGATTTTAAATCTTATAATTATCTTATTATGCTAAACTAATATTTTATAATGTTATGTGGACTATTAGGTTGATGATGAATCTAAATCAATATTTGATGATGTTATATGCGTTAATAGGTTGATGATGTATATTATTATACTAAGTTAATAATTAATGATGTAATGATCAGACTTTAGTGAACTAGGATTTCAAATGTCAACTTATAGTTTATCTTCATCGAATTCCTTCTATTATAGTCGGCTGCGGGTTGGTCGGGTTACGGGTTCGGGTTAGTCGGGTTGCGGGTTAATCGGGTTGCGGGTTGATCGGGTTGCGGGTCGATTGGGTTGCGGGTTGGTCGGGTTACGGGTTGCGGGTTGGTCGGGTTGCGGGTCGGACGGGTTACGGGTCATTGACTTTTAGTCAAATCGGGTTGCGGGCGGGTTGCGGGTCGGGTTGATCGGGCGGATTACTTGGGTCGGGTTACATTTTGACACCTCTACTCCTAACTATACACACATTCTTATAAAAAAATTCTCAAAGAACAATAATTTCTAAGAACTTCTCAAATTAGTGAAATTACACATGTTTTGAGATAGATCGTTTCAGTCAAAAGCAATTTGTCACTGACCGCTTGAGACCTCAGCGATCTGTGACATATTGTTTCTGACCTAATCATTTATAGATCGCTCCTGACCTCAGCAATCAGTGACAAATCGCTTCTGATCTCAGCAATCAGTGTCTGATATCCGGGGAAAAAATCAAACGACAATAACTTTGTGCTCGATTATCAGATTAACATGATTTTTTTTTTATTTTGCATCTTTTTGAGATCTTTGCAACTAAAAACAATTGAAAGTAGTATATTCAAATTTCGTCTCCAAATAAGGCCATTTGTTGAGTCCGTCTAAAAACAACAATGAGTTCTAATGCAATATCAAAACACTCGGCTTAATTGCAAGTTTGGTCACTCGAATTGCTTAAAAATTTCACGTTTGCCACCCGAATTGATTTATTCCATTTATAGTCACTCGAATTAGTTGAACAGTCCAAGTATGGTCACTCTCCGTTAACCTCCGTTAACATCCGTTAATGACGACCGTTAAGTGATGACGTGGCTAACAGAAAGACACAGTCAGCACATTTAAACATTAAAAAAAGACAACCCGACCCGCCAGCTCACCCTTACCCGCCCAGTCAGCCATTTTTGCCCAAACCCGCGAACCAGACCCAATTAACTGACCCTAAACCCAAACCAGTGACCCAAACCCCCTGAAAACATATCCCCCGCTTCAGCTGCGACGCTATGTTGTCCATGGTCACCGGCGGCGACTCCTCCCCTTCCTCCTCCCACCCCTCCACCTCCACCTCCACCTCCAACAATGGCGAGGCTTTCTTTTTTGGGGGGGAATGGCGGAGAAAAGAGATGGAAACTGGAAGGGGAAAAGAAAGAGAAGAATAATTGGATTAACGGAATTGTTTTCCAGATCCGATAAACTCGCCAAGCAGAAAAAAAAAAAAATTGGGGATTACGCGAAAAGGCCGGGAGTAGTTGAGTTGAGAAAAAAGGCGCGCGCAGATTCGTTCCGTTCCTCCTCTTATTATTCCACCTATCAAACTCAAACATAAAAAAATATGCCCAAAGTAGAATTCATTGGGAGTGAGTAAAATAACGGATTTCCAATCCATTCCTTTCCTTGCTTGTTTTTCCGAAAAAGCAAACTAGTCTCGTTGAAGGGGGAAAACAGCAGCGCGCTTCGATTTAGGGTTTCGCGGCGGATGAAGAACTTCGCGGGAGGGGTGAGGGATTTAGGGCGGCGGCGGCCTCCATCCCTTCGACGACGATTTTCGACGACGATTTGCAAAGTAGAGAGGCGGCGCGGGAGGGAGGATGAGAGGATGAAGATGGAGAAGGGAAATGCCCTAATCCATCTGCGTTTAGTTTTCAGGGGAGGTTGGGTCACTGGTTTGGGTTTAGGGTCAGTTAATTGGGTCTGGTTCGCGGGTTTGGGCAAGAATGGCTGACTGGGCGGGTAAGGGTGAGCTGGCGGGTCGGGTTGTCTTTTTTTAATGTTTAAATGTGCTGACTGTGTCTTTCTGTTAGCCACGTCATCACTTAACGGTCGTCATTAACGGAGGTTAACGGAGAGTGACCATACTTGGACTGTTCAACTAATTCGAGTGACTATAAATGGAATAAATCAATTCGGGTGGCAAACGTGAAATTTTTAAGCAATTCGAGTGACCAAACTTGCAATTAAGCCCAAAACACTCTTAAACAATCTCAAAGTGGTTGATTCAATTGTTGGCATAAGCATAAATATGAATGTATAGTTTCCCTAAAAAAATTACATGTGTTCTATGAAAATGC